TATATATATATATATATATATATATATACGTATACATACATATACATACACGGTGCATGTATATAAATACATAAGAGTGTATATTTTGTGTTGTATGTATGCACACCAGGTTAGGTAATTTAAGTGCGGTGACGGTATGTGAGCGTTTGGGTGTAAGCGGGCCTAAAGACACGACGAAGCTGCAACAGGCAAAAGAAGAGACATATAAAAAAGGTTTTTATGAGGGTATAATGTTGAAGGGTCCTTTTGCAGGGAAGACAGTATCTGCAGCAAAACCCCAGGTGCAGCAGCATCTGCTGCAGCAGCAGCTGGGGTGCATGTACTGGGAACCAGAGAAACAGGTTGTTGCTCGCAGCGGCGATGCATGTGTTGTGGGACTGCTGCCTCAGTGGTTCCTTGTGTATGGACAGCAGCAATGGAGGCAGCAGGTTGAAGAATATATTTCATCTCCTCTCTTTAACACTTATAACCCTCAAGCCCTTCATCAATTCTCCTTTGTTCTCTCTTGGCTACAAGAATGGGCATGCAGCAGAAGCTATGGATTAGGCACCTTCTTACCATGGACAGAAGACACAGACACACCTGTCCTTATTGAAAGTCTTAGCGACTCTACTGTATACATGGCATACTACACTGTCGCACACCTCATACAGGTACCAAACCCTAAACCATAAGAACCCTAAGAACCCTAAACCCTAAATCCTAAAAATCCTGAAAACCCTGAAAATCCTAAACCATTAACACTCTTAACCGTAGAAAGCCTAAACCCGAAAAGACCTAAACCCTAAACCCTAGGCCCTAGATGGTACACTCAACTTGTATTGGTGAGTCAGGTGTCTCTTTTATTCGTGTTTACCATTTCTTCGTCTTCTCGTTTGCTGCGTAGGGAGGAGACCTTTATGGGGACACCCCAGGTCCCCTAGGTCTAAAACCCTCAGATTTAACCGAGGGTTTCTTTGATTATATCTTCCTCTTGACGGACACACCTCCTAAGGATACCAATGTGTCATTAGAACACCTTAACGTACGCTTCTGCTGCTGCTGCTGCTGTTGCGCCTTCTGTTGCTGCTGCGGCTTCTGCTGCTGTTGCTGCTGCAAATAGTGTCCATGCTGCTGCTGTGCTGCCAGTGTTGCTCTCCTGCTGATGTTGTTGTTCCCGTTGCTGCTGTAGTGGAGGCCGCTGCTATTAGTTCTGCGTCTATTCTGTGTCTTGTGTATGTCCTTCTGCACCCAATAAATGGTAAATAAATAATTAAGAAATTAATTAATATCCATTTGCCTGTTTGCACATAGTAGATATATTGTTTGATAAATAAATCAGTAGACCTAAATTATTTAATATTCATTCAAATCCCTCTAATTGTGTGTTGTTTCACCTCAGTTGCTGCGTAATGAATTTTCGTATTGGTATCCTCTTGATTTAAGAGTTAGCGGCAAAGATTTAATCTTTAATCATCTTACTTTCTCTCTTTATACACATGCAGCTATTTGGAAACAGCGCCAAGACCTATGGCCAAGGTACGTCCATCTGTTACTGCTGCTCCTGCTGCTGCTGCTACTGATGATGATGCTGATGCGAGCGGTGTGGTGTTAGTCTGCTGCTGCTGCTGCTGCTGCTGCTGCACCTGCTCTCGAGGTTTCTGATGTTGCTGTTTCAACCTGTTCTTGCTATTGCTGCTGCTATTGCTGCTGCTATTGCTTCTACTATTGCTGCTTCTACTGCAATTGCTACTGCTGCTACTGATGATGATGCGGTTGCTGTTGGTGTTTGCATTGTATTTTAGATCATTTGCTTGCAATGGAATGGTGTTGGTTGACGCGGAGAAGATGAGTAAGAGTACAGGGAATTTCTTAACATTGGAGGAATCAATCAAATTGTTCTCCGCTGATGCAACACGCATTGCCTTCGCGGATGCAGGCAAGCAACAGGCTGCTGCCGCTGTTGTTGTTGCTGCTGTTGCTGCTGCGGCAGGCAACACTCACATACTGCTGCTGGTGGTGCTGCTGTGGCTGCAAGCCAAACCCACATGCTGCTGCTGCAGGTGCTGCCTGCATGCATTGTGTTTGATGCATATTTAGTTTTTTGCATGCAGGCGATTCTTTGGATGACGCTAACTTCCAGCGAGAAACTGCTAACAGTGCAGTGACTCGACTTTTCCTCCTTAAGAACTTAGCCTTAGATTTCGTTGAAAACAAACTTGATCTAAGAGAAGGTAAACCCTTGAAAACCCTAAACCCTAAATGTTAATAGCATAAAGAATTTCTACACTGACTGACTTCGTTGGATATGCACTTGAACACTTTCACTACACAAACCGTCACCCGCAAAGATAAACCCTGAGGACCGAAACTTAAACCGTCAACACCAAACGCTAAACTCTCAGCCCCAAACCGTCCTAAACCTGTAGGGATCGTCACATCTAAGATGTGCATCGCAGCGAACGTTTAGGCTCCGAACATGGAACGCTTCTCTCTGCGCCCGCGAAACCTCGCATTTAGCCTTTGTGGTTGCGTCATTTAGGGTGTATTGTTTAGAGTTTAGGGTTTCGGTGGTGTGTGTGCAGGCCCGTTCACGGCGGCGGACGAGCTGTTCCTTAATGAAATAGGGCTGTGCGTTCGCTCTGCTGCTGCTGCATACGACGCGTTGCAGTATAGAGAGGCTTTGAAAGCTGCCTTCTATGAACTCGCCATAAAGAGGGACCTATACAGACAGCTGGTGGACAAGGAGAAAATGCACAAAGACCTCGTCAAAAAGTGGCTTCGTGCGCAAGGGTTTATGCTTTAGGGTTTAGGATTTAGGGCTTAGGGTTTGCGGGGTTGGGGGCAGCCAACTCGGCGCATGTCCGCAGTCCATCATTCGCCCCAGGGACGCTGTTCAAACGATGCAAGTTTGAATTGCGTTGGGGTAGGGTCTAACTAGGGTTTACGGTTTAGGGTGTAGGGTTTGTGTTGTGTTGCGTGGGGGTTTGCTTCAGAGGTTCAAGCTGTCATCTTGTCGCCCATTGCCCCCCACATAAGTGAATATCTATGGAGCTTTGTACTAAAGGAAAAGGGTTTAGTGGTTGATGCGGAGTGGCCTTCAATTCCCTATGACGCTGTCCTCCACCGGTAAACCTTAACCCTAAACGCGGTGCACGAAGCCCGAAAGAAGCCTGGATTGAACGTTAGAACTAGGATGACAGGGGGAGTCTATGGTTTAGGGTTTAGGGTCTAATGCTTGTGTTTTGGGGGCGGTTGTGGCATAGGAAGTTCCAAATTTTATTCACCTGCGTCGAAGACTTCCGGAGGGCAAAGGAAAAGACACTCCAGGCAGCAGCAGGAGGCAGAAAGAAGGGCAAGCAGCAGCAGCAGCAGCAACCGCAGCAACAGCCGCAGCTGACGCATGCGGTTGTATATATCGCTAAGTGAGCCACCAGCACTACCCTCAGCAGCAGCATTGGAAGCAAGGCCGACAGCAGCATTAGCAAGTGCAGAAGCAGCATGAGCAAAATGGTGGTGTGTTCTCCGGTGTGTTATCTCTGTCTCCTTTTTCTTGCTGCTGGTTGTCTCCGTGCTGCTGTAGGGAGTACAACCCGCTGCAGCAAAAGGTTTTGAAGGTTTTGCAGCAAATACCCCTGCAGCAAAACCCTCAGGGGCAGATGGAAGCGCCTGCAGATTTTATGAATCATCTTAAAAGTGCTCCTGAGCTGCAAGACTTAAACCCTAACCAGAAAAAGGAGGCCATGGCCTTCGCCTCTTATCAAATGCGGGTACGCTCCCCCTAAACCCTAAACCCTAAACGAAGGTTTTGACACGTGAAAGGACAACCGACAGTCCAATAGCAGACCCTCTCGTGCCACGTGTCGCTCTCTCGATTTTTCAGTGTTTAAGGTCTAGGGTATAGGGTTTAGACCTAGGCTTTAGAATTTAGGGTTTGGTGTTGCGTATCAGGACGAGCTGAAGGCTTGCGGGCCATCAGCTCTGAATCTGCAGCTGCCTTTTAGCGAAGAGGAGTTGTTCAAGACCCACGAAAAGTTCTTGTTGAGCGCTTTGGATCTTTCCTGTGAGTCGGGGGAGGCGAGGGTTTAGGGTTTACATTCGATGATTTAAGGGCCGGATGGGTTGGGGTCTAGGGTAGTTTACAATGGAGGGTTTAACACAACAGAGGAGTCTGGGGTTGGGGTTTAGGACTTGCACTCGAGGGTCTAACACAGCATCCGGTGGCAGTGAGGGAGGGTTTAGGGTTTTCTAGGGTTTAGGGTTGAGAGTTTAGGGTTTGGGGTTTATGTGTTGCAGCTATTGAACTACGAAACAGCGAAGAACCGAGCCCCATTGACACCACAAACTGCCGTTTGCTGGCCAAGCCCGCACGGCCTTCGATTTTCTTTACGTCTGCCTAACTTTCCCCGTCAACGCTGTTTTAGGGTCTAGCAGTTTGAATCGGGGGCTGTTGAGGGGTTAGGGTTTTGTTAAGATTTTAGCAGCTGACAGCACCCAACACCTTCTACACATCGGGCCCGTAACCACAAAAGCCTCAAAGCCTAATCCCCAGGGGTTTGGGGCTCGAGGGTTTTGCCCTAAGGTTTAGTCCTAGATTGTTTTGAGGTCTAGGGGGAAGCGCTAAATGCCGGTCCAGAGGTTTTGTTTCTGTTGACGTGACTTCTTAAACCGTAAACCGTAAACCCTAAACTCACAACTTGAAGCTTAAGTTTCCTTAGGACGAGTTCCTTCAGATGTCTTCTGAAGTTCCTTTTGAGGCGTGAGGGTTTGGGATAAACCCTAAGGGTTTAGGATTTAGGGTGGAGAGTTTGAGGGGATTACCCTCTGCGCTGCGCGGCTTCTAGGGGAATGTTGCATGCTGCACTTCGTTTTTTAACGGATCGGTTTTGACCGCAACCTCTGCTGCTAACGCTGCTCCTGCTGCTGCGTTTGCTGCTGAGAACGGCTGCAGCTGAAGGTAGCTGTTTACCCGTCTGTCTCTTCCTGGGTGTCTTCTTGGCCGCCTCTTGCTGCTGCAGGGGCAGCCTGCAGCGCAGAGCCCTCAGTGCGCCTGCGTTGCTGCTCTCGAGCAGCAGCAGCAGCTGCAGCAGCAGCAGTGGAGCGGCGAGGCGCCATGCTGGCACGTCCAGGCCCACCCAGAATTGTGGCTCGTTGGCTTCTCAGTGCAGCAGTAGCAGCAGCAGCAGCAGCTGCTGCTGCTGCGCTTTCTTTGCTTCCTCTTGAGGCCGTGGCGAGGGACTTGCGGGCGGCGGCGGCCGCTGCTGCTGCCACTGCTGCTGCCTCCCTGCCCTGCTCAGTGAAAGCTAGCGACTTGCGAGCTACTGCAGCAGCAGCTGCTGCTGCTACTGCTGCTGCCTCCCTGTCTTGCGATGTTGCTGCTAAGGATTTTCGCCCTACTGATGTCGAGGCAGATCGCCCCTTAGCTACTTGCTGCAGTAGCAGCTCTTCTTGCCGCAGCAGCAGCAGTTGCTGCTGCTCTATCTGTTCCTGCTGGAGCAGCTCGAGTTGCTGCTGCAGCAGTTGTTGCTGCACGGTGGCCCTTTGGGACTGCCTGCGCCCCAGGGGGTCTGCAACTCCGTCTTCCTCAGCGTCTGCAGCAGCAGCAGCTTCAGCTGCAGCAGCAGCAGCAGCCCCTGTTGCGGCAGCAGCGGCAGCAGCAGAACCTGGGCCGACTAGGATGATGTTGTACCTTAGGGACCAAGCAGAAATGGTTGCTGCCAAGTATGAAGCCAAGGCCAGCAGGTACATGCCTAGCTGGACTGCAGCAACAACAAGTTGCTGCTCCAGCACAATCTGCTGCTCTTCCGCCTCAGCAGACTCGAAAGGATCTAAAGCAGCAATATCTGCCTTTACTGCCTTTACGCTATACACCGCAAAAACAACCCAAAGCAGCTGCAGCACCGTCAGCAGCCCCGCAAACGCCGCATACACCCCAGCGCCGCGCCAGTCTGCAACAACAACAACCGACAGCAGTAGCAGTGGCAGAAGTAGTAGCAGTAGCAGGAAAGATGGAGCCTCCATTGCTGGGATGCTAGCTCCGCAGCAGCAACAAGAGGAGGCATATCGTTATCAGCGGCAACAGCAGCAAATTTGAACCCACTCAGGCAGCTAGCCAGAGCAACAGAGCGCAGAAGCAACTATATCTATTACAAAGACAGCAGCAGCTGCAGCGATTAGTAGTAGCAGCAGCCACTAGCACCCATACAAACTAGCTAGCAGCAACAGCAACGGTAAAGCTGCAGCAGGCCGCAATAGAAACAGCCGCTGGAAGAAGTGGCTGTTTGTACTGTACTACAGCTGGCAATAGCAGCAGCAGCAGTACCAACAACAGCAGCAGCACCACCAACAGCACCATCAGTATCACCAACCGCTGTAACAGTAGTAATAGCACAATCGGCAGCATCGGCAACATCAGCAGCAGCAGGAGCAGCAAGTTTCTAACCCCTGTGGATAGCGGCGGATGCCCCAAAGTATGCAATAGCAGCAACACAAATGATCTCGATAGCAGCAGCAGCAAAATCGACAGCAGATTCTGCTGCAACAAGAGATAAAACAAACAAAACAAAAGAAAGGAAAAGGCACCAAATAACACAAAATAAACAACAACGTCGTGATGATCGTAAACGAGAAGGCTCGCGTATCCAAGCCTTGGGTACTGGCAGCACGCTTGCGGCGGCGGCGGCTGCTGCTGCTGCCGCTGCTGCAGAGGAGGTGGAAGAGGAGGTGGAAGAGGATGAACCATTAGAAGGCAACAATGCAAATGAGTCCTCATTCTTAGGCTCTGGAGGCACAAACACCACTGTAGGCTTTCCCGCTGGTGCTGCTTTTGCTGCCTCTGCTGTCTCTGCTGCAGCAGCAGCAGCTAGATGGCTAAAGGATGTAGCAGACTGGCGAGTCAGAGGCCTCAAGGGAGGCCCCCCTGGGTCTTCTCCGCTATTGGACGGCTCCATGGCAAGACTCCATGCAACCTCGAAACCCTAAACCCTAAATCCTTGAATCCCCACCCGAGCAAGGTATATAGGCAAAAGAAAAGCTAAAAGCCTAAACCCTAGTCTATACATTCCTCCTCTCTAAAGAAACTTAACCAGCTGATGGTTTCAACGGCAGCGGCGAGCGAGCGCCGCTCCCAACGGCGGAGTCTGTCCTATATCAAAAACATAAACCATAAACCTTAAACCCCTGCCTTTGCCTATGAAGAGTAATTCAATGAAGAAGGAAAACTAAATTCATAAGGAGAAATCCATCGTAATAACCGGCTCGGGGCTTCCTGATCGTTTGGAGTCCCCACGAGGAAGTCACACACGGCGAACCCTAAACACTAGACCGTAAACACTAAACCCTAAGTTAAAATCCTAAACTAGGGGAATAACAACAAATAGGGGTTTCGCAGTTGACTAAACGGAAGTCCATACTACTGGCATGCAACGTCAGAAACGAAGTGACCCTAAACCCTTAAACCCTAGATCTTGCCCACAAACCCTCTTATTAATATACCCTTTCCCTTCATATTTTTTTATAATTTTAAACATTCACTTTTATTTTAAAGATCCAAATGTTAGGCAGCCGCAGCCGCAGGAAAAACCGGAAGCCCTCTGTTTGCTTTGCAGAAGACAGTAAACCCTACAAAACACCAAGCCCTTGACCCTAACTTGAACCCTTTAGAGCGTCGCTACCCAAAAGCCCTAAGCCATAAACCCTAAACACGCTTGAAGCTAGAAGGTGTTGCCTCCACCTCAAGGTGCGAAGACGTGCGAGTGTTCTTGAGGGTGGCTGGGCGTTAGAGCGATATCGCTAAACCCTAAACCCTAAACCCCAAGCCCTAAACCCTGCTAGCATACTTGTGCAAATAAAGACATATTCCAAATAGGATGAAAGATGGGGTTTGGTGTTGTCGGGTGGAATTACGCAGAAATGTGTATACGATTGTATACGTGTGTGTAGTTGAAATTATTAGGGTTTAGGGTTTAGGGTTAATGTAAGGTTTAGGGTTTGATGCGTGTGCATGTAAACTCAAAGATAAGATCTGCATTTGGAGGTATAGCTGGTGGTGCTCCTCTTTTACCATACGCAAGATGACTAGGTATAAAGACTTTTCTTGTTTCTCCTACTTGACACCCAATAATACCTAATTCAAGTCCTTTTATTATTTCATTTCCTCCTATCATAAATTGTAGCCTCCCTCTATCAAACCCTTTTTTATTTTTTGCTAAGACGCCTCTATATTCAATGTTAACAATATTCCCCTTGCTGCACCGTAAGCCATCAGCCCGCCCGCTTAGCCGCAGCACCGTATATTCAACCCCACTAGGAAGTCTGTACACGTCCCCTACCTGCACCTGCTGCTGCTGCTGCTGCTGTTGCTGTGGCTTCTGCTGCTGCTGACTTTGTTGTTTCTGCTGCTGTTGCTGTTGCTGTTTCTGCTGCTGCTGCTGAGGAGGAGCATTCTGCGACAGGGAAGGAGGACGTTGCTGCGGCTTGTGCTGCTTCTGTCCTGTTAGCTGCTCTGCAAGAGAAGGAATGCTTTCTGTCTCCTTAGCTAATTGAAGAGACAAACCACCACCTTTCTGCTGCTGCTGCTGCTGGTGCTGCTGCTTGAGAAGTTTCTGCTGTCTGTACACCTTCTCGTCCACGAGCTCAGGGGCGTCATCGTCTGCATCCGCCTGAGCCTTCCGCTTCCTGCTGCTGCTGCTGCAGTCGCTGGAGTCGTGGCTGCAGCAGCTGCAGGGATCCTCATACGGGACAAGAGCTCCGGCTAGCTGCACCGCCCAGTTGCTGCTGCTGCTGCCTGCTGCTGCTTCTACCCAAAACTCGGCGTCTTCCTGGGCCACAAACAACAGCAGCAGGGGATAAAAACCCTTTTATTTAAAAGGCATTAAAAACGTTTATATTTATAAATAAATACATATACATATATTTAACTTCTGCCTATAATTACACATAAATATAAAGTGTTTCTAACTAATACATCGGCATGCACCTGAAAAACAAAGAGGCGGCACGAGCAGCTGCACACACACCCCAAGCAAATACGCAAAAGCAGCAGCAGAAGCAGCAGCAACAGCAGCAGCATCAACAGACCGAGATAAGCAATTTGAGGGGTTGTCTAAACTCGTTGATCTTAGCAATGGGAGTCCTCAAGCCCGCCGTCTGCATCATTAAGATCCACGTTGGGGCATGCTGCTGCTGCTGCTTCTTGTGCTGCTGTTCCTGCTGCTGCTTCTTTTGTTGCTGCTGATTCTTTTTATGCTGTTTCTGTTGCTCCAAATAGAACGGGCAGACAGGGACTGCAACCGCCAAGTGCAGACGGCCTTCCTCGGATCGATACTGGAGGCGACCCCCGCCCAGGGTTAACAACCCACCTGCAGCAGCAGCAACAGCAACAACACAAACAGCAGCAACAGATAAAAGTCTCCCAACTACTTATGACGTAAGTTAAAATTTCGTGCTGTGAGCGCCCGTGCAGCGAAACCGCCACTAAACAGCAGCAGCAGCAGCGGCGGCGGCGGCGGCAGCAGCAGCAAACTGAGCAAACCTTACCCCAGAAGGACATTCTGGATAATGATCTTAAGATGGTTAACTCCGATCTTAAAGAAGGTAAGGGTTTGGGGTTTGCAGCCAAAGATGAGGGTTTAGGGTTTGCAGGGAAACGACCTCAGCGGAGGGGCCCCAGGCAAACGAAGCTAATGAGGGTTTAGGGTTTAGGGTTTTGTTTTTATTAGGAAGAAAAAGATAAAACCCTCATTTTACGGTCTAGGGTTTGGATGAGGAATTAAGGTTTGCAGGCAAGGCCAATACTCTCGAGACACGTGCGCTGCATGCGGCCCCAAGGAGGGTTTAGGGTTTAGGGTTTAGGGTTTTGGGTCTCGCAATTTCAATAAAAAAGCTAAAGATAACTCGTAGATTTTTATATCCTCTCCAGGGCAAGTGCAGCCGCTGCAGCAGCAGGCAGCAGGAGCAGCAGCAGCAGCGAAACTGGGGGGCCCCACACACGACTCACTTTGCTGCTGCTGCAGCACTGTGTAGTATATTGAGTATTCTCCCGCTGTATGTACACCTGAAGACCCTTAAGAAGCTTCGGTCTCTCCTGTATCTGCAGCAGTTTCTGCTGCTGTTGCGGCAGTCGCCGCTGCTGCTACTTCTGCTGAGGACCCGCAGCAAATGAGCGCTCCTGCTGCAGCTGCCGGCTGCGTAGCAGCAGCTGGAGCAGCAGCAGGAACAGCCACTAGAAAGCCCATGACAGCAGCAGCTGCAGCGGTAGCTGCAGCAGCATCTAGCAAGAGGGCAACAGCTAGAGCAGCAGCAGCAGCAGCAGCAGCAGCAGAGGCAGCTAGCCGAAGCAATGCCATTAGCGGCAGCAGCAGCAGCAGCAGCAGGCCTTCCTATAGTTTTTACTTCCTGACTGGCTGCCGCAGCCAGCTGCTACTACACCGTAGCACAAACATCAGTAGCAGCAGCAGCAGCGTCGGCGGCAGCAAGTACTTCCGTTGTCTCTTTAGCACTGCAACGGAGAGTGAGCAGGAGCCCCAACAGCAGCAGGCGCAGCAGTCGCAGCAGCGGGAAGCAGCAGCAGAAGCAACACCTGCTGCTGCCAGCGGCTTGGCGACGGATTCTTTGCCGACTTTGACGCCACTGCCCGACCAGCAGCAGCAACAGCAACAGCAGCAGCAGCAGCAAGAGCCGTATATATATGACGCAGAAGAGGAGGTGTTAACTGATGAGCAGCGGCAAGAGAAAGAAAATTTAATTAAAATATTGACAAAGAAGTTAGCAGGACCTCTAGCTGATGAGAACGGGAACGTTCCCACTGGTAAACCCTAAACCCTAAACCCTACCCTAAACCCTAGACCCTAGACCCTAAACCCTAAACCCTAAAGTTATTGTAGAGTGCCAGTACATATTGCAACTTGCTATCCTCTCCAGGTTAGTGGCTGTCGTTCATCCTGTTCTCCTTTTGTATACCGCTAAGGGTTTAGGGTTTAGGGTTTGTGTACAGGAGCAGCTCGTCCTGTGGCTATAGAGGTGGATGGTCCTTCGCATTTTTATAGCGGGACAGAAATTTATACAGCTTATACAAAATTAAAACACCGATTATTAACAAGAATGGGGTTTAAGGTTCTTCATGTTCCTTATTTTGAATGGAGAAGACTTAGGTCCGAAACCCTAAACCCTAAACCCTAAACCCTAATTTGAATATGGCTTATACATAACTACACCCAACACAACGCACAGTGTTTGTCACGATGACAAGTAACACCAGCATGATTGGTAGCGTTTCCTAGCACCCTTAGTGGTTTAGGGTTTAGGGTTTGTGGTTGTGTACAGAGGGCAGAAGGAGAGAGAAGATTACATGAAGAGAAAGCTGCAAGAAGAACCAACAGAATGGCTAGACCCTCAAGATGAGGCCTTCTATAACCAAAGGATGGGGGTAAGGGTTTAGGGTTTAGGGTTTAGGGTTTTGGTGCGTTTCTAAGACTGATGGAAATTAGAGAAAACGTTTTCGGGTTTAGGGTGCTTCCTTTAAGACGGACGGCAAGAAAAGGGTTTAGGGCTTAGGGTTTCCGTGCTGGCTGCTGTGTCCTGTCAACAGCTGCTGCAGCAGCAATACCAACAAGAACTAGAACGAAATAATCCGCAGCAGCAACAGCAGCAGGATGGGACCCCGACTCCGCCTATCCAGCAGCAACCCTCGTCTCCACAGCAGCAACAGGAGCAGCAGCCATGGCAGCAGCAGCAGCCGTGGCAGCAAAACCAGCAGCAACCAACGCAGTGGCAGCAACAGCAATCACCACAACAGCAGCAGCAACAGTGGCAGCAGCAGCAGCAGCCGCAGCAGTGGCAGCAACAGCAGCAGCCACCACAATGGCAGCAGCAGCCACCACCACAGTGGCAGCAACAACAGCAACCGTCACGGTTGCAGCAGCAACCACCGCCACAATGGCAGCAACAACAGCCACCCCAGTGGCAGCAGCAGCAACAGCCACAGTGGCGGCAGCAGCAGCAGCCACAGTGGCAGCAGCAGCAGCCACAGTGGCAGCAGCAGCCACCAGT